CTGAAGAAAACACTCAGGGCACACTTCCACTTGAATCTCTTGCAGAAGCCTGTCCACAGCCTCCCAAAACAGTCTGATTGGGGAAATTGTTTAAATGGGTTGAATGAGGTCTACTTACCCAGCTGCTGCAGGAAAAGTAGCAGATGATCCTCCGTCTGCACCAAAACCCGGTAGCCCACTGAGTCATCCTTCTTCAAGAACACCTGGATATACAGCTGTAAGCCACACAGTCAAGACCAGTGTAGTCAGTGAAGATCCAAATGCCTCTGAGAGCACCAGACCCCAGGAGTCAAAGCATCAGGAGTTCACGGAGCTCCAGGTCTTGGCACTATTTGATTTGTAAACAATGAAGGTATTATCTGGATGCCAATAAGTGACACACATTCTTAGAAGCCAACACAACGATGCTGGGATCTCCCAGGCCTTTCTATGGAAGAACCTGAGTACTCCACTTGTACACCATTCATCCATGCTCTAATCACACCCCACAAAGTGAGCAGGAGGCCAGGATTAGACTTTCCACTTTAGAAACAAAGAAGCCACAGCCCAAGCAGCTGAGGAACACAACCAAATGTACACAAAGGCGACACTGGGAAGTGATGAGGAGTCCAGGCTGTGGTGTGAGACCTAAGGCTGAACCCCAGCAACACCTCTTACTGGCTCCATGACTCTGGCTATGGTACTCGATCCCACCGGGCCACAGGATCATTTTATTTTTTATTTATTTATTTTTTTTCACAGGATCATTTTAAAATCAGGTCAGGAACAACCACTTCATGAGTGTTCAGAGGATTAAATCAATTAATGTGTGAGTTAAAAGCTTAGCACAGTGCCTGGTGCACAACGACAAGCTGGCATAAGTAATACCCGCCTTTACTCTTATTTCTAACAAGTCAGTGGCTCAGGGAGCACTAGAACACGTATTCAGAGAGCCTAATCCAAGCCCCGTGGCTATGACCTGGCCCTGAGGAAGGAAAGCCCCATGCTGAGAAGCCCACATGACAGTCTGCAGCAAAAGGCTCTGCCTCACCCGCTCAGGCCGAGTGCCGCTCTGCTCCAGGCTGAATGTAATCGTGGTGTCCAGCAGCCGCCGACCTGTCTCCACGAGGTACAGGTTAATGGTGTAGGTCTGATTGAAGCAAGCCAGAGAGTCCTAGGGGTACAGACAGCATGGGTCAACTACAGCTATGTCCCAAAGCAAAGCCCACCAAAGGAAGTTCAAGGATTGGGGACCAATACTCTAGAGAAGGAGCCCGGCCAGAAGGGGAAATATATGCAAAGGAAAATAAAGGAGAAAAGCAAGCTAAATCCTCAGGCAGAAATAAGGTGCCTGAGTAAATAAATGAAATTACAACTACCATACTTGTCTTGGAGGCCAGCACAGTGTAGCAGAGACTTCTGAAAGAGAGGTAGAGCTGAGCAAGGTAAGACTGAGCAAGACAGGAGGCAGGGAAAAGCTCGGGAGACGGAAGCACAGCAGGAACCTATGCCTCCAGCCAGGGTCTCATGCTTCTGCTTCAGGGCAACTGCACAGATTACTACTTAACTGTGCCAGCCGGGTCCCTATAGAAATGGGGATGCTGAGGCCCAGAGGAGAAAGTGGCTAGGAACAGACTAGGTATTCTACCTCCTAATCTCCCAATAAAATGGGATTAAGAGAAACATCATTTAATTTGCAGTACTTAGGAAACCCCATTTGAACCTGGGAACTCTGAGGCCTGCTCCTAACCAAAGCTGCTCCCCCAGCTCTCTTTGGTGAGAGATCAAAGGTCTGGCATACTGCCCAATGCCACACTCTACCTTTGAGCTAGACTTCTCCGAAAAGCTCCCCATTGACCCATCTTCAGAATTGCTGGGTTTCTGCTATGAGAAAGAGAAGGACAGGAAAAAAATCAGCCAAAGGGTCACTTCCCAGTCACTGAAATGAAGCTTTTATTTCTGTCTTCTCAGCACTTGGGAGAAGGCAAAGCTCATTTCTCACCCCTGCCCACAAGGCCTATTCAACCCTTAATAGCCCCATATGAAAGTAAGGTCGTCACATTAGGATCTCATTCCCGGGGAGAAATGGGGTGCACAGGAAGCTCTACAGGTGAGGCAAGACCTCAATCCTCAACAGCCTCCTGCTCCCTGGGTTCAAACTGACTAGGCCAATGTGCCCAGACTTCTGATTTTCAGGGTTCCTGGCAGAGACCAGGAAGGAAAACCCCAAGTGCTGACTGTTGTTCTCAGTACTCACCACTTCATTCCGACAGGTCATGACTGCAGCCACCGTCTTCTCCCCAGTGGTGGCAAAGCTCACAAGGGCAGTCTAGGGGAAAAGCAAGGCATCGGCTCCTAAATGGGACCAGTACTAGCCAGCTGCCTTACGGAGGGTCACTTCTCCAGGGATGGTCCCCTGGCCTTAGAGTTGAAACTGCTCCCTACTTTGGAGCAGAATGGTCAGGGCATTTAAGAGCAGAAGGAAACCCCAGTTGCATCTACAGCTAAAAACAAAACTCTCCCCTACCTCCAACAAAGGCACAAGCCAATCCTAAATCGCATGCTGCTCGCTCTTAGTATCTATGGGGAAGTTCTCATTTATGTCCCCTTATTTCCTTTGGACTAAGGAAGACACTAGTTTTACTCTAAAGATGCTTTGTAATACTCAGAGGAAATACACCATTTCTACTGTAAGGCTGCCACCCCCTCTCAAACCAAACCACTTATGGGAAGGTGTCATCAATCTTAGGCCTAAGAGCAAACATTTCCAGATTCGAAAGCACTGCCTTCGAGCATCCATGTCTTGGCTAGATGTCCTGAATCCTGGCAAACCACGTTGCCTGCAGTTACCTGTGGGAAGTTTTTAAGCAAACTCAGGGTGCCGTAATGGTACTGCAGCAGAGCATAGTGGCTCGGGGACAATTGCAGGAAGAACTGGGCCCGGGAAGCATCCACTGGGTTGGGCTGGGTGGACAGGACCCGGGGTTGGAATCCACTTCCAAATTCTAAGTCGAGAGACTGGAAGGCAAGAAGGAGGAGGATTACGGCTAACAGCTGACAAGTCCCTGACCCATCCCAGGCTCTCATCCTCTGCCCTACTTTGCTGGGGGAAGTAACTAGGCCACGGCAGGTGGCTCCAAATGCTCCAGTTCAAGTTCCCCAAAGGGGAAAGTGGCCAATTTCCCCTTATACCAGTTCAGCCAGAGGCCTGACTGGCTTCCACTGCTCAGAAGAGTCTGGGAAAAAGCCCCTCCAGGGGAATCATGCCAAACCTTCTACTCCGTGCAGAAAATGCCTCAGGCCAGAAGCAGCAGTGGCAGCCTCTCACCTGCAGCGGGATTTGTCTCAACTCCCATTCCGTCTCCAGAGCCAAAGTTTGAAGGGAACGTGAGCTTGGGTCAGGACACACTAGGACAGCCTCATCCACCATGCCACAGGCTCCAGTGAGGTGCTGCAGCCATGGAGTTGACACCCTGACCTACGGAAAAGTCATCGTCAACAGGAAGCTCGTGAAGGATTTTTACATTTCCCTCTCAGCCCAACAGCAGTATTGCTGCCAGCATCTACTGGGGGCCTAAGCTCAAAGGTTCTTCATGGTTGGTTCCATAGGAATTCTTGCTGTCCCCTAAAGCCCCACCCTCTAACCTCCTGAGAGCCTCCAAAGTTTAGAAAAAAAGATCAGGATTTTCTTTCTGGTCACTGGAAAAATATACCAGATTTTTTTTTTTTTTTTTTCCTGAGACAGAGTCTTGCTCTGTCGCCCAGATTAGAGTGCAGTGGCTTGATCTTGACTCACTGCGACCTCCACCTCCCAGATTCAAGCAATTCTCCTGCCTGAGCCTCCTGAGTAGCTGGGATTACAGGCATGCACCACCATCCCTGGCTAATTTTGGTATTTTTAATGGAGACAGGTTTCACCATGTTGGTCAGGCTGATCTCGAACTCCTGACCTTGCCATCTGCCCGCCTCGGCCTCCCTAAGTGCTGGGATTACAGGTGTGGGCCACTGCACCCAGCCCAGATAATTTTAAATACCTGACACTTCAGATCAGCACCTCTTTACTGTATTTGTCATATGTGGTGTCCTACTGTTATTTCATAGCACTATAAGATATTACAGGCAGTGACTAGATCTATGTAATTGTTTAGCCATCCCGTAAGATAACACATGTAAATATGAGTACTTTAAATAAAGGCCTAATGGGAAGGTAGCTTGCAAGCGACCAGAATGAGGAAGCATAAGAAGCTTTTGCATCTGCCCAGCCAAGTTCCCTGTTACCCAGTACAAAGAAATCTATCAAGTCCCCTACCCATTCACAGGCTCCTGGAACCCGACATCCCCCCACCGTACCTGCTGAACAATCTCTCCATCTTCCACATTAAACTTGACAATGTTCACATGGCTGAAGGGAACAACACCAAGGGCCCACACCACCCCAGAGCCGTAAGAATACACCATCTGGTAGTGGATGCTGTCACTAAGAGATGGAAGAAGAAAGGGAAGCGTCAGCTTTAGCCCCATGACAGGATTATCCTTCCAGGCTGCCAGGCCTAGGCCAGATGTCATAAACTAGCAATTCCAAAATAGGTTTTGTTTGGCTCACACAGTTTGGGGGCTTTTCTTGTTGTTGTCCTTAATTTGAATTAGTTGTCAACATTTAGAAGACACTACACTTCACAATCAGATTTCTAATTTTTCCTACAGTTAGAAGACCTGACAACACTAGGCCTAAATACAGAGCACCAATAAGGTGGGTAAGACTGCCCCCTCCAGGCAGGCTAGGCGCACTGCAGCTGCCATCCAGCCAGGGTTGCTCATGGATATTTCATAACCGGCCTCATAGCATTTTTTGTTGTCGTTGTGCCGGTTTTTTTTTAGACAGTGTCTTGCTCTGTCACCCAGGCCGGAATACAGTGATGCAATCATGGCTCACTGCAGCCTCTACCTCCCCAGGCTCAAGTGACCCTCCCACTGCAGCCTCCCAAGTAGCTGGGATCACAAGCACACACCACCATGCTAATTTTTTGTATTTTTTGTAGAGATGAGGTTGCCCAGGCTGGTCTCGAACTTCTGAGTTCCAGATCCGCCCACCTCACGCTCCCAAAGTGCTGGGATTACAGGCGTGAGACACTGTGCCCAGCCAGAATCTGAAGTGTTGAGTCCTGCTCTAAACTTAAAAAATGGCCACAGCGTGTCTATGTGGTGTGTTTGCTCTCGTTCCTCCCTCCGGTTCCTTCCCAGTTTCAATGCTTTCTACCAGCAGGACCTCGAGAAACCATTTCAAACCCCACTCAGCCTACCCTAGGCTCTTCTTGAGTTGTTCTAACTCTTAATATGAATGAAAGGCTCTGTCTAACTTGAACTAGAAGTCAAAACGTGCAAAGTAGCATGACCATGAGCGAGTGAATGGCTCCCGTAGCATGGCTTGCAGCAGTGCCCCAGTTTGAGAGTATTCTCAGTGCAAAGCAAACGCCAGACATACTCTGGAGTTTCACCCACACTCCCAGCCTATGAGTATCACAGCCTATCACCCATACTCATGGCCTTCAAGATCGTGTGAATGCAACACACTCTATGAAATACCAACAAGAGAGAGGCCTGGATAAAGCAAACGTGAAGAAAAAAGAAAAACAAAAAGAACAAAAATAAAATAAAATAAAAAATAATAAAATAAAAATTAAAAAAAAAAAAAAGAAAAGAAAGAAAATGCTTCGGGGCCCTCAAGGAAAAAGAGGAGCTCGTACAGAGTAGGGCGAGGCAGCTGTTGCCTGTGAGCAGGCGGTCTTACCTTTCTGGGAGATGTTCCACCCACTTCAGGTGCCCACTGGAGAGGTGATGGAGGGCAAGCGTAGTCTTCTTCAGGACTGCGACGTACCTCACAGACTCCTGCAGGCCAACCAGCCCAAGTGCCTGGAAACTGAGCACAGACACAGCTTGAGAGGTGCCCACACCTGCAGAGCCTCAGGCTAGGAGAGACAGTCCAGAACAGTACCCACTGTTGCTTGGTGGGTAAGAAAACAGGCTTCAGGATCAAACATAGCTGGATCCTAATCCTGGCTCTCTCTCGTTAGCTTCTGCACTTGCAACTATTTGGCCACACTGCTTGCTTCCCTGAAACCACCTACATCTCCTAAGGGCTGTTCCCTCCTTCCCCGGGACTTCACCACAACTGGACCTACCCTCTGCCACATACACGTCAGACAGTGCTGTCATTACTGTGCTACCTGCATGCCTCCCAATGGACAGCAGAATCCTCGATGACAGAAACTGTCTCACAGTCCCGTGTGTTCCCACCACCTGGGGGCTCACCACGTGTTTGCCAAATGAATTACCATCAGAAGATGTATAAGCTAATACAAACAACCCTATCATTTAAACAACTTTAAGGGCCAGGAACAGTGGCTCACACCTGTAATCCCAACACTTTGGGCAGCCAAGGTGGGAAGATCACTTGAGGTCAGGATTTTGAGACCAGCCTGGCCAACATGATGAAACCCTGTCTCCACTAATAATACAAAAATCAGCCAGGTCTGGTCCACATGCCTGTAATTCCAGCTACTCAGGAGGCTGAGGCATGAGAATTGCTTGAACCTGGCAGGCGGAGGTTGCAGTGAGCCAAGATCGAGTCACTGCACTCCAGCCTGGGCAACAGAGTGAAACTGTGTCAAAATACATAAAGAAAAATAAACAACTTTAGCAAAGATGTAACAGTAGGTCAAGCTGTTCTTTAAACAAAATTAAAACACTGGAAGTTTTATATTATGTTTATATCTAGAACATTGCAAAACTCACACATCACGGTAAAATTGGAGCAATCAAGCACAAGCACAAACACTGCACCCCGCACACAGCTCTGCATCTAACAGGTGCTCAACACGTGTTGGCTGAGCAACCATACCCACAATGGGCATTCCATGTTCTGGCTCTTCAGTGGTCCCTGGGAAAAAGCCAAAAGGCTCAGAGTTGCCATCTATGCAGATCTGTGTCCCAGCAAAGCCTTTAACTCAGTCAAGATAAAATCCAGTTTCCTCCCCTACCTGCCACTGTCCAAGGTTATCTCCCAGTTCAGGCCCCCGATGTTAGTCTCCCAGGAACGCATGATTCGGCCTCCATTGGACACAGTGATCGCATCTGGAAAAGAAAAGATCATGGTGAAGTCATTTCCCACTTGCTCTGTTGCCTCCTAGGGTCCCACTGTGAGCAGTGGCCTCACCTCTGATTTCTGTATGCAAATAGACAGTAAACAGGTACTTGTCCTTCCCTGTCAGAAGTACCCCTTCTCCTTTCCCTACCACACCCTGTACAGACGAAGGAGCCAAGGAAAGGGACAGGAGCCGGCCACACAGCGGAGACACGGGAGGACTCTGCTTACCCTGTCCGTGCAGGAGCATGGCATCCACAGCCCCTTCTGCCGTGCCCTTGTCAACATGGCGCCACACTGAGAGACATAAAAGTCAGACGTTACTATGAACTGAAGGGGGTGGCCCAGAAGACTGAGAGGTAAATGAAGAGCTCTTCATTTGCACAGCAATGTCCAGTTTTATTTCAAGGGAGGGAAGGAGTAGAGCTAATTGGTAGTGATCCAGTCCCACTCACAGGGTAATGAGGGAAGAAGCGGGTAAGAGGAGTCGCTACTATCCAAGCCCCACTAACACCCCATCAAACATATCAACAAACAACAAGAGTACTAAAATCCCTCCAATTCACAAGAAAAACAGTGATCATAAATTCTATTTCCATTATTTTAGTGCCTAAAAACATCCACCCAGTATAGGTAATCAAGTGAGGGTGTTTGAGAGTTTACTGCAAAGTAGAATAATGTGTTTTTTGCAGCAGTATCTTTTTTTGAGACAAGGTCTTGCTCTGTTTCCCAGGCAGGAGTGAACTGGCGTGATCACAGCTCACTGCAGCCTCAACCTGATGGGCTGAAGCGATCCTCCACCTCAGTCTCCCAAGTAGCTGGGACTCTAGGAACATGCCACCAAGCCTGACTAGTTTTCAATTTTAGGCATGGGGACTCACTATGTTCCCCAAGCTGGTCTCGAACTCCTGAGCTCAAGTGATCATCCCACCTGGGCCTGCAGGAATATCTTACTTAAGGGCACTCAGGATTCAGGCTGAGGGAATAAACTGCAAAGGTCAGTTATAGGAATATACAAATATTCCAAGATGGTAAGACTGAAAAAAAAAAAAAGTATCAGAATCCACCAAGAGAGGTATCTTTTGGCCAACACGTCCCTTATTCAGGAGTCAGCCAGGCAGAGTTAGCAATGGACCTTCCATCCCTGAGGCAGCCAGTCTTCATGGATCCCAGTTCACTCACAAATCTCCCCAGTTCGGGAATTTAATGCTGCAATCACATTCTTCTCTGTGGCTACAACCAACTTCTTGGATCCAGGGGAAAATTCCAAGGAGGCAAACTTGAGCTTCCCAACATACTGCTGCCTCCTGAGGAAAAGAGAACAAGAGAACGTAAGAAGCTAAAATCACCATTCCACAAAATGCTCTGGGAAAAAGCATATCACAGGGCTATCACCATCACACTTATTTTAGGACATATAAGAAGTGCTTATTAGTGAAGAGTTCTGACCAAAAGCAAGATTTCCATTCAATGTAGTCAGATGCAAAGAGAGCAAGAGAAGAGAATTACCTCCTAACAGATGAGACATACTAAGTCTTCCTTCTAAATGGAAGCACATATTTACCTTCAGATAAGTGACACCCCAAAGGCCACCTGACCTAAATTTCTACAGTCCTCTCCGTGTTCACTGACAGTGGGACTAGGCACTCAGCCTACAAATGAAGGAGAGACACAAACCCTGCTTTCATGGGCACACAGTCCTGCATTCCCTTCTACTGTCGCTGACTGCTGGAGGAAAAGTCTGCAAAGGTTCCAATGACAGGCCACAGACGGGGACAGGCCTTTGCTCTCTCACCTCATTCTACCCCAACTATATTCAGGACTCATTTGGACCCGCTCTTACTTTCCTTGGGCTGTATCCCACTACTTTCAACACTCTTACCTAAGCAGTAGGAGAAAACGATTCACCTCACACAGTAGGCTACCAAGGACAGAGGAGGTGCTTGCCCCATGCTGTTAAGAAGTACTGTGGGGCAGGGCACGGTGGCTCACGCCTGCAATCCCAGCACTTGGGAGGCCGAGGTGGGCAGATCACCTGAGATCAGGAGTTTGAGACCAGCCCGGCCAACATGGTAAAACCCTGTCTTACTAAAAATCCAAAAATTAGCTCGGCATGGTGGTATACGCCTGTAATTCCCAGCTACCCAGGAGGCTGAGGCAGGAGAATCACTGGAACCTGGGGTGCAGAGACTGCAATGAGCAGAAATTACGCTACTACACTCCAGCCTGGGCAACTGAGCAAGAATCCATCTCAAAAAAAAAAAAAAAAAGAGAGAGAAATACTGTGCTCCCGGCCAGGTGTGGTGGCTCATGCCTATAATCACAGCACTCTGAAAGGCCGAAGTGCGTGGATCACTTGAGGTCAGGAGTTCCAGACCAGCCTGGCCAACATTTAGTAGAGAAATCCCATGTCTACTAAAAATACAGAAAAATTAGCCAGACATGGCGGCACACGCCTATAATCCCAGTTACTCAGGAGGTGGAGGCAAAAGAGTTGCTTGAACCTGGGAGGCAGAGGTTGCAGTGAGCCGAGATCATGTCCAGCCTGGGCAACAGAGTGAGACTCCATTGCCACAAAAAAAAAAAAAAAAAAAAAAAAAGAAGTACTGTGATCTCTAGTACATGAAACACACATGACATATACATGGAATCTTTCATCCTTAGGCTGTTGGTTTAGTTTGGGAGGGAAAAAAAGAAGCTAAGGTGGTGGTAAAGACAAAGACTTATATGACATTTGTTTGTTTCTACCTGTATTTTCACATACTTTACTCTCAGTGTATCTAGTAAACAACCCTAAAAGTACATAGAGCAAATATTATTATTACTCCATACTGTTGTTTTGGCTAGCACAGTGGCTCACACCCATAATCTCAATACTTTGGGAGGCCAAGGTGAGAGGATTGTTTGCACCCAGGAGCTTGAGACCCGACTGGGAAACACAGCAAACTCCAGTCTACCAAAAAAAAAGACAAAAAAAGCCAAGAATGGTGGTAAGCACCTGCAGTCTCAGCTGCTTGGGAGGTTGAGGTAGGAGGATTGCTTGAGCCCAGGAGTTCGAGGCTGCAGTAAGCAAAAATCACACCATTGCACTCCAGCCTGGGCGAAACAGCAAGAATCTGTCTCAAAAAATAAATAGGCCAGGCACAGTGGCTCACACCTATAATCCCAGCACTTTGGGAGGCCGAGGCAGGTGGATCATTTAAAGTCAGGAGTTCAAGACCAGTTGGCCAAGATGGTAAGAACCCATCTCAATCAAAAATGCAAAACTTAGCCAGACATGGTGCCACGTGCCTATAATCCCAGCTACTTGGAAGGCTGAGGCAAAAGAATTGCTTGAACCCAGGAGACGGAGGCTGCAGTGATCCAAGAACATGCCACTAAACTCCAGCCTGGGAGACAGTGTGAGACTCTGTCTCAAATAAATAAGTAAATAAAATACTGTTGTTTTATCTGGATATAAAAGTAATGTCGGCCAGGCGCGGTGGCTCAAGCCTGTAATCCCAGCACTTTCGGAGGCCGAGGTGGGTGGATCACGAGGTCAAGAGATCGAGGCCATCCTGGTCAACACGGTGAAACCCCGTCTCTACTAAAAATACAAAAAACATTAGCTGGGCATGGTGGCGCGTGCCTGTAATCCCAGCTACTCAGGAGGTTGAGGCAGGAGAATTGCCTGAACCCAGGAGGCGGAGGTTGC